GATTTGATAAAATTCAAGTGACGGTCAAAGTGATTGCTCGGTCATTGAATGCTGAATATTTCTTTATAAGGAAATGGCTAATATTTTCATTACCACTACTATTAGAATCGAAAAACTCAGTGTTAATTTGTAAGGCTCATAAATTATTTGACGTAGTGTACTGTTTTCCGCGTTAGTCTAGAGATTCATTACTATAATGTAACGAATTCTGTGACTGTTTTGGATAATTCACACGTAAAACGCAATATATTAATCGATCCAATCATATATATATATATATATATGTGTGTGTGTGTGTGTGTGTGTGTGTGTGTGTATGTATGTGTGTGTGTGTGTATATGAAAACAATAAACAAAAATTAAAAATTCTTGAGGCTTTATAGATAAAACAGTTGAAACCTAATCTGAACAAAATAAACCATGAAATCTTCACAAATATACTTAAATGCCTATAATTGATACTTAACACTTCTCGTTTTCATTCTCGCGTGGTCATGTGTGAAATCATGAGCCACGGTGCGATTTTTCGCTTCCAGCGTCTCGTATGCACGAATTTGTCGTTACTCGGAAATCTTCAATGCAAACAAAAACAGACTATCATTATAGTTATGTCCGTGTATTGTTTAATATATTATAATGTAATTGTCATTTTTGATGATGGCTTATGTAAGCCGAAGGCTTAAATAGGATTAAAAACATGTATCAATATGGCGATTTACTTTCGTTTTTCAATGATAATGTTATTAAGCGTATCAGACAATATGAAAGGAATTTAAATTTGTCTATATTAGTTAATGAAACATGTACTATATATATATATATATATATATATATATATATATATATATATATATATATATATATAATATATTAAGTATATATATATATAATTAAGAAACCTCAACAGAATGCGGAAAGCATTGAACGGCCGTTTCGTCCTATATTTGGGACTCAATATTTATATATTATCTACAATCTTCGGACTCTTGTCCTCATCTTTATTGTCATATTCACCACGTTTCGGCCGTTGTAAGTTCCGGCATTCATCAGGTGTTTGGAATTTCGAACTGAACCGTTTATTTCGTCAAACCGGGGTAGATTGTCTAGTTCCTCGTGTTATGTCTCTTCCGGATGTCTCAGTTACTGACACAACTCTCCAAGATTTTTTCACCACTGCAGTAGCCACAACTCTTTGGGTCAAGTCACTAGATCCAACCAGTTTTTTCCAGTGGCCCATTATCGAAGAAAGACAACTGCTAATTCAAAACCATGTAGGCGTGGAAATATGTAGGCACCTAAAGGTTGCTCCAATGATTTGGACCGATTTTAAATGTGAATTAAGTTTAAGCGTCTAATGATTTTTTTCTTTTTTCTTTCAGATTTGGCGGATATTTGGGCGATATTATAATATAATTGCCATGACTTAAATAACATGATGCAACAGAGAAATAAATAAATTTTCACCAATAACACTGATTTACTGTTGACTTTGATCCGTCTTAATGAAACACCCTTGTATATAAATCCGTCTTAATGAAACACCTTTATATATAAATCCGTCTTAAGGAAACACCCTTTATTTGCTACGAAACCACAGCAATGGCAGCGATGGCGCTGTGGTTCTATATTCCACAAGGAAAATCTATAGATATTAAGTTATATGTATGGTTTTTTAAAATATTTTATTTGTTGTCAGATTAGATTAAGTATCTTGGTGTTGAAGGTGAAAAAAAAGATTGTCCGTGTTCGGCTTTGTTAAGGTTGCGAGCTATCGACTGGCTTCACTCATAACTGGGAAAGAAAGAACTCCGATGAAATTCAAAGACTTAGTATCTTCGATTCTTTTATGAGCCGCCTCCCTTAAGGACATAGGCGATCAAGGATTTCCAAAACTTCCTCTCCCTTATGGCTTTCTGCCATCCGTTCATACAAGCTCGTCAGGTAGAGTAGTCGCTGCGTTCTCCTATCTCTCTTGATCTCGATATGCCATGTGAGGGTTAAATTTTCCAAGTCATCCTTTCTCATTATGTGTCCAAGGAATTTCTGCTGTCTCTTCTTGGTTTCGGAGTATAATTCTTTGTGTCAGTTTCAAAGCCAAAACTAACTTCACGTCTACGTGACGATACAATTGTTAAAAATTCGAAATCCACTATCACCCACTATCATTCTGTCGACTTCAAATAACTCATAGATATTCGAATATATCCGTAATTCTTTTCCACGGATAATATCTAAAAAAAATATATTTATTCTCCGTATAATTTTCATAAAAATAAACAAGTCTATTCTGTTGTTCAGTGCTTTATAATTCAGGTATGCATTCCTAATTTTGAAGCGTGAATCCTTCAAAAATATTGCCGAACTCTAATGAAATATCAATTCTCTTATAAGGCAACGAATGCCGGACAATTTCCGCCTATATGAAGAGAGTGGGTCGGTCTGAGTTCAGTCTGAAGTCGGACGACCGGCTGACCGGTTGAACTCTCTGCTTTCGAGCGGGGAGGAACCCAAACGAGGCTACGCCGATGGGCGGAGTCCCTTTCGGGGAGGTAAACCGACCCTGAACCCGTTTATACGGGTTTTAAAAGGGCATATTTTGGCCGAGCCCATGAGCTCGGAGATCCCACGTTAAACCGGCCTTGTGCTACATGATGCCCTCGTTGCGGGGGGGGGGACTGAATATCGCTCACATGAAGAGAAGACCTGCGGTCAAACAAATGTTGTTTTACAAAGATATGCTGAGAATACCATGGACGGAGCATGTAATCAACGAGCAATTTTTAGGGAAAATAGGAACAAAAAGGAGACAAACAGAAAGAGACATTTTAAATGTCTGGGATACATAATGACGCCTTGTAGAATTTGCCAGTCACATGAAAGCAAGAGGAGCAGAAGAAGAAATCGAGTAAGCTACCTAACGAGCTTATATAAATGGATCGTAGGACAGGAACAGGGATGCTTAATAAGAAGATAAACACTACTTAGAACTACGAATGATAGGAAAATGTGGAGAGCCATGATCGATCATTTTCTGAAAGGGTATCGGACATGAAAGAAGAAACAAATCTGTCAATATTTCTGAGATGAAGTATTATGTACACTATTTACATTATTCGGACTATCGTCCCCATATTTGTTGCCATATTTATCACATTTCAGTCGTTGTACGCTCTGGCTTGGGTTAGGTTTAGGGTTAAGGACACATGGCACAGTGGATAAAGCGGTTAGTTAGATCCAGTGACAGGACCCAAAGAGTGTGAGTTCAATACTTGGTTAAGGCGGTGGAGAACTTCGAGAGGGTAATTAACAGGAGATAACTAATAACTGACATCCATTAGACATGGCACGGGGAACTAGAACAGTCTACCCCAGCGTGCGAAATAAAGGTTTCAGTTCGACATTCCAACCACCTGAAGAAGGCCGGAGCGTACAACGGCCGAAATGTTGTGATAAATATGGCAACAAAGATGGGGACGATAGTCCGAATAATGTAAATAGAAGAATGAAAGGCGTCAAATTTTTGTAACAACTATTTACTAATCTTATAATAGTGATAGCATAAAGGGCTTAGGTTGGGAGATTTTGTTGCGTCACTCTATTCAGATAGGATGTCTTGAAATCACGAATCGATATCTGAGCTTCTTATTGATAACGGATTGACAATGTTCACTGAATAGCATTGGCATTTTCCCCCTTGAGAATCAAAAGGAATCCCAAAGATTGTCTCACTAGGGAATTTTAAACTACAAGGGAGGTGTTGACATATGCTTACGTATTTTCTTTTAAATCCTCGCTGAGATGTGAGCTGTCATAATACATCATAATCTACCTGAAATCACGAACAAAATATTCTGTACGAGAGGCTTCTCATTTCAGAAGACAAAAAAATCATTCAACAATTAGTCAATATACGAAACTAATGTTCAATTTGTCTATATTTTTTGGATGAGTTATTGTAACTATTATACACTATTTATATTGTTCGGACTGTTGTCACATTCACAACGTTTCGTCCATTATACGCCCCGCCATCTTCATTTATGCTGTTTTCACACTTTCACCTTCGTGGTGGGGGCTTCCTATTATTTTTTCTACAAATATTTTCATAGCATCTATTCTAAGAATGTTTTCCCCTGGTATTCCGACAACATGAATTTAAGTGTGCTACTATATTGTCATCTAGTTCCCACCCGTTTACTGTTGAAATGGCTAAATGCAACCGCCACTCCTACTTTAACAGTTTCCTTTCTCGCACTACCCACCTGTGGAACTGCCTTCCGTTTAATTGCTTCCATGATAACTACAATCTTCAAAAATTGAAAATGCAATCGAAATCGCCATCGTCTTCTTGAATGCTTTTCATCTTTTGTCCTTTCTTTAATCCTCCCTATATTCAGTCTTTTCTCCCACTTCACTCCCTGTAAACCTCTGCGTACTAGTAGCATTCTTACCTTTCTTGGGTCGAAATAATTTTCAAAAAAGACTTCCGACTTACTTGTGAGTGTGTATCCAGTGGTCACCAACCTCTTTTTTTGTAATTTGCAACTTCACTTATTTTAAGGATGAGGTCCTCTTCATTACCCACTGCTGCAAAAAGCCATATTGACTCATCCAATGTGTTCCATATTGATCAGACTAGTTACATCGCTGTCCTATCTAAAACAAACAAAACAATTAGCTGAACCCGAGTAGGAATAAAACCCACCGAAGACAGCGCCGTTCAAAGAAAATCCAACTTTTTAAACAAACGAAATCGAAAACTTCAGAAAGACTGACATACCCATTAACTATTCTGAGTTCGTTTTAAAATTCAAGTAAATATTTCCTGAAGAAGGCCAGGGCCGAAATGTTGTGAATATGACAATAAAGATGAGGACAGCAGTTCGAACAAGGTAAATAGTGTAAATGATTTTCAATTGTTTTTTAACATAACGTTTCATTCTTTTCACTTCTGTCTTCCTTCTTTCTCTTTAAAATGTTTATAATTTCATTTCTTTAAAGCTGTATTTTTCCCTATTCACTTTCTTATTCCTTTTTTTTCTTTAAATTGCGTTTTATTTTATTCGCTTATTCTTTCCTTTTTCTCACTCTTTCAAAACGGCATTTATTTTCATTCCCTAAGTTATTCTCCTTTTTTCTTTACTTTTAGCTTAACTATTTGAACCCTGACCACCGTTTTTTGGTAAAGAAAATGACTTAATGCCCAGCCACCGGTTGGACAGTGGTAGAGAAAAATGACTGGATGTCCAACCACCGGTTGAACGGTGGGTAAACACTTGTAACTATTTTTATATCTATTGTGAAACATTACGTACCAATTATTTGCGAATTTTGACTCAGGAGCTCAGGCAGAAGGAAGGGTTAAAATTGTTCAGGAACTCAGGGTTCAAAAGGTTAAATCTATTTATATTTTCTTTTTGCTTTGTTGGTTCTTACTTTCTATTTGAATTTAATTTTCGTTTAATTTTATTCATTTTCTTTTTTGACAGGATGTAATTGTATTCATTCTTGCTTTTCCTTTCTTTTTTTTATATTTCCTTGAATTCTATTCTCTTTTTTCTTTTTTTCTTTCCTTTCTTTCTTTGTTTCGTTTTTTTTTCTTCCTTTCTTTCTTAAATTCGTTGTTTAATTTCATGTCTTCCTTCCTTTATTTCATTGTCTTTTAGGCACCTCGAGGCTTGGTTAGCGAGCTTCTCTCGCTAGAACAATTACGACTGCGTAGTGAGTTCGATCCTCACTGGGTGCTTCTTACTCTCGGCCATGTGCCACATCTAATTAGGGCACCTCGGCGTGGTGTAATGGTTAAGCAAGCTTGTCTCGTTAAAACAGTTACGCGTGAATAGTGAGTTCGATCTTCACTGGGTGCACCTTGCCTTCGCTTAGTAAATCATTTGGGCACTTCGAGGCGTTGTAATGGTTAGCAAGCTTGTCTCGTTAAAACCGTTCGATCCTCACTGGGCGCCCCTTTCTTTCGGCCTCGTGTCACATCTAAGCTACGCTTATAAAATCGTTTGGGCATCTCTAGGTGTTGTAATGGTTAGCAAGCTTGTCTCGCCAGAACAATTACGACTGAGTTCGTTCCAAACTTGATGCCCCCTACTTTCATCGTCTTTTCCTGTCCTTAATTTTTTTCCCTCCTTCAATTACGATTTCTGTTTACATCCACTCTTTCCTTTTTTTTCAGACATTGTTTTTCTTTTCATTTTGTTTTCTCCTTTTCTTTTAATTCCTTCTTTTCATTTTTTTCATTCTGACTTAAACGCACATGACCATTAATTCATTAAAAGCCGTTTTTTGTAAGCGTTTTGACAGAGGACGGTAAATGCGACAATGAGATCTGTAGACATATTGGGATGGACAAAGACGCATTCCAAAAGCTAGGCAGAGTATTACAAGACAGGAGGATTTCTTTGGCAACAAAGAATACTGAGCTGTGTCTTTCAAAAACTAATTTACTACCTCACTTTGGCTTAAAAGAACTTTCTCTTCGTGTTCGGATTTTATCATCATCAACATCATCATCATATAATAATAATAATAATAATAATAATAATAATAATAATAATAATAATAATAATTTCCTCATAAAATTGTTCTCGCGAGTACAGCCCACAGAATACGAAGAGCTTTACCTATATAATTTTTTTTTTCTTAATTTTTTTTTTAATTTGTCGTTGGAAAATGTCATGATGCCATTTCTAACCTTAGGTCTCTGGGCGGGACCCGGAAGGAACTGTGTACACCCTAGAAATCAAAGGAAATAATAATAATAATAATAATAATAATAATAATAATAATAATAATAATAATAATAATAATAAACAAAATGATTGACGAGAATATTTCAATATTTTTAACATTTAGAGAAAAGCGTGATTTAAGAAAAGAGAAAGAAAAGACTCAATGTTTGACAATTGTCAAACACCGTCTTTTTCTTATCTTAAATCGAGCTCTTTTTTAAGCGTTGATAATAATAATAATGATAATAATAATAATAATAAAATTAATATTAATAATAATAATAATAATAATAATAATAATAATAATAATAGAAAAAAATCGGCATGATATAGTAGGCCAAAATCTTCACTGGAAAATATGCCGGTTTTATGGGATGGAAACTGCAAGTAACTGGTATGAACATCACCCAGACCCGGTTACAGAAATAGGACATGTAACAATCAAAAGCTGGGTAGAGTATTGCGAGGCAGGCGGATCTCTCTGGTAAGAACGAAAAGAGTACTGAGCTGTTACGTGACATCTGTCTTCTTTTACGGCAGTGAATGCTGGACGGTCTCCTGAAAGATGAAGAGGCGACGGAGAAGTGGTTCTACAGAATGATGATAAGGATATCATGGACCGAACGTGTAAGCTACGATGACATCTTAGAGAGGTTGCAAACAAGGAGGCTTATACTTAACATCAGGAAGAGGCAGCTGAAGTTTCTTGGACACATAATGAGGAAAGAGAGCCTGGAGAATCTGATACTCACGAGTCGAATAGAGGGAAAAGAGACAAGGGAAAGAAACGCGTGACATATATAGCAGCCTTAAGAAAGTGGATGACAGAACATGGCCTGGAGGAGGAAGCAGAGGGAAGGGACTTGTTGAGAGCTGCAAGGGATGGAGGGAGGTGGAGAACCATGATCGCCTACGTCTTGTAAGGACATGGCACACAAGAAGAAAAGAAATATCTCTTTCCAATCTCGGTTATTCTATTTTCTTTCTCCTGACATGCAATGTGGCTCACGTTTAATCGTCCATTTCAGCTTTTCGCTGTCTATTCGAATGGGTCTTTCACCCAAGCCTCCCACGGTAGAGACAAGTGGTCGAAACTTTAGGCGTACGCAGCTTTATCAGGCACGTGGAGACCCTTTGACGCTGTATAACAGATCTAGAAAAAAATCATTAGCAAAATCTGACGCCCAAGAAAAATCACCGGTAAGAAGAAAGGAAAAAAAAAACGATCACGTGACAAGAACGAAAATTCAGAAAAAAAAGTAAAACAAAGAGAAGCACATCTATCTATCTATCTATCTACTTTTCATGTCTGTCTATTTTTCATATTTATCTATGACTATTTTCTATCTATCTATCTATCTATCTATCTATCTATCTATCTATCTATTCCTCTTTTCATATCTATCTTTCCTTACTTATCTTCCACTCTTTTTCTATCTATCTATCTATCTATCTCTCTATCTATCTATCTATCTATCTATGTATTTTTCATGTCTATTTTTCATGTCTGTCTATGCCTACTTTTCTATCATGATTATCTATCTATCTATCTATCTATCTATCTATCTATCTATCTATCTATCTATCTATCTATCTCTTCATACAGATCTATCCTTCTTTTTCTAGCTCTCTCCTTTCTATCTATTTATCTATCTATCTATCTATCTATCTATCTATCTATCTATCTATCTATCTCTTCATACAGATCTATCCTTCTTTTTCTAACTCTCTCCTTTCTATCTATCTATCTATCTATCTATCTATCTATCTATCTATTCCTCTTTTCATATCTATCTTTCCGTACTTATCTTCCCCTCTTTTTCTATCTATCTATCTATCTATCTATCTATCTATCTATCTATCTATCTATCTATCTATCTATCTATCTATCTATCTATCTATTCCTCTTTCCATTTTTTTCTTTTGATCTATTTATATCGATTCCCTTTTCATATCTATCTAGCCAGAATCAAAAAATCCAGCCACGTGGCAAGAATGACAAATCCACCACCCTCACCCCCACCCTAAACAAAGAGAGAAGCTCAGCTATGAAATGTTCAAATAAAACAATTGCCGTGAAACCATGAAACACTTTAAGGAGAGCTGCAGTGGTTCGTAATGAGAAATAAAATGATGGTTTGTGCATTGAAAAAACAAAAGCGTACCGGTTGCGGCGAGCGACACGTGACTCGTTTTGAGAAGCCACAAGTGGCCAGGAGCCAGGCACTTCTCTCTCTCTCTCTATTTCTTTTATTCCTTAACCAGAATCTTTACGCGTCTACACCTGTTGAGAATTGCATGTGATGGTTTTCATACAGACGACAGGCAGCCTGTTAGTCGCCTTACAAGCGCTCAGCGACAAAAAAAAAAAAACTTTAACAGGGCAAACGGACCTTTGACTTTCAAGCCGCGATATGATTTCCAGTCGCAAGCAATTAGGGAAATGTTAATGACCACAAAATAAAAAGTAGGCGGGAAAAATGCTAATAGCATAGGTCACTGGTAGCATTCAAACACGTGCACAGATGCATGCATACGTAATCTGTAAATAGCTAGATGTAACCGTAAGTTATAATCTAATTATTTCTTTTCTCGAACTTTTCGCATGTGGAACTCGTTTCTGGCTTCTTTCTTTCCAGCCATGAACGATCTCGAAAAATTTTCTGTCTTCCTAAAAAATATGTTCTTTTATCTTCTTATTGTTTTTAACTTCCAGTAATACCTTGCGTCTTAGTGACATTATTGTCATGCTTGGGGTGAAATGATATATCTGTATGCCAGTCTCTTTCATACTGCTGTCGGATTAGTAATATAGAATCTACTAATTCTCTAGATAATGGCTTGGAATGAAGAATCAAAGAGCCGGTTTCGATTTCCAGTCGGGTTTTTCATATTCACTAACCCTTGAGAATGGTATGAATCCAACGATTCTGCTACCCGCCATGGGTTGAATAGCAAGACAGACTAGGACTTATAGTATTGGTAAGTAACCAGTCTATCTGAAAAAGAATTGGTAGCCTACTTCAGGAAAATCTTCTGCCTGCCAGTCATAAATCGAAAGAGACATGTTCGCCCAAGTGTGTATCACGTATGGCACTTAACTGAATATATATATATATATATATATATATATAAACACACACACACACACACACACACACACACACATATATATATATATATATACAGACAGTAATTAGTAGGAGGATTTGATAATGATATTTAATTAATTCATCGAGTCTGATAGAAACCTCTACAGAATGCAGGAAGCACTGGACGGCCGTTTCGTCCTATATTTGGGACTCATCAGCAGTGCGCATCAGCTACCGAGTATCGAACCCTGACAGTCGGGTTGTCAAGCTAACACCATACCAACTGTTCCAAATGGGTCTCGGTGACGAAGAGATCCCAAATCAGACTCAACTAAGCGCCGCTCGCGGAACTCAACTGAGTTCTCTGTAACCATAGGACTGTGCCCCCGGGAGCCACTGCTGATGAGTCCCAAATAGAGGACGAAACGGCCGTCCAGTGCTTCCTGCATTGTGTAGAGGTTTCTATCAGACTCGATGAATTAATTATATATATATATATATATATATATATATATATATATATAAAGATATTTTTGTGATACAAAACTTTATAACTGCCATAAATAGACAAACATTATTTTTATTATTACTACTCATGATGATAACAAGTAAAAAGTAAAACTGAAAAACGGCTAGGTAACCAGTTTCGAACCTCGCTCAACAGAACTAAATCGAGGTTAATAAACTGAATTATCACTAAAAATTGGACAATATGTATTGGAGAAGAAAAGGGAAAAAATGTATTGTTTAGATGGGAATTAGTAGGAGGCCCAATACGAAGTCCTTTTGTTTACACAGAGATGGCTTCAACGATAGAATATAAATGGCCGCCAACACTTTTAATTGGTAATTCAAGTGGGATTTGATAAGAATGGTAAATGAGTCCACACTGAAACGAGTAGCACAATTATGGTTATTTACACACACACACACACACACACACACACACACACACACACACACACATATATATATATATATATATATATATATATATATATATATATATACGATAAGCCAAAAGATTGGAGCCACTGCCTGGGTTTATATATATATATATATATATATATATATATATATATATATATATATATATATAAAAGATATTTTTTGTGGTACAAAACTTTGTAACTGCCTTATATTGACAAAAATTATTTAAAAAATAGACAATATGTATTGGAGAAAAGAAAATAAAGAAAGGAAAATATATTGCTTAGATGGGAATTAGTTGGAGGCCTAATACGAAGTCCTTCTGTTTACACAGAGAGGGCTTCAATGATAGAATATAGATGACCTCCAACATTTTTAAGTGGTAATTTAAGTGGGACTGAAATGTTAAATGAGTCCGCGATATTTATTGGATATAAAAATATAATTATGGCACAACGCCGAAAAAGGGGGAAGGGTTGAGGCTGGTCTTCATTACCTACGTTCTACCTAGCTAAATCGATTCACGGCACATTCACTCATTACAATTTCCACATTCACCAAAAACTCGTCCGTCACCAATCAATCCTCTATACACGATAATACCACATCCTCTCACGGGGACCTACAAAAACGCATCCCATGATATTAAAAATTTCATGATAATAAAATACATATATAAAAATTTATGGATGATTAAATATGAGAGGAGTGGGGGATGAACTCAACAATCAAAATAAATATTAACACGAAGTAAATTAAACATAAGTAATGTTAGTAGGGCCCGTCCAACCCTCAAAAAAGGAGAGGCCGCTGTATTCTGCCCATGGGACAGAATCAAGAGGCTCTCTTGCTAAGGGAGTGGGAAAGGAGAAAATATATATACGGACATGGGAAATATGTTAAATGAGTTCGCACTAAAACTAGCAGCACAATTATGGCTATTAGGTGTTCTTCGATGGAAGACCCATACGTATTGGTCAGAATGTCTGAAGGAGTATCCTTAAGAATGCGGATTTTCGTTGGAACGTTTTGCTTTATTCTAGCATCCACCCTTTGAGTCGTTCTCCCTATGTAGCGCGAACCACAACAACATTTGAAAGAATAAATTAAAGAACTATTATGATGTGGAGGAAGAACGTCCTTCCGTATGGATAGAAGGACAGGCTAGGAAGAAAAGGCTACAGGAATGTTAGCGGCAAAGTAACAATGTCGAACAGCTACAGATACCTGTTCTATCATTGATATTACCCAGCCAAGTAAGGCGCAGATACACAGGGCATCTTTTTATTATAGCAGGTTTAACTTTAATGAATTCAGCAATTTTATTCTTAATAATTGCTTGAACAATGCCTAATGGATACGCATTGTTACAGAGAGTAGTAGTAATAAACGTAAGTTCATCATCCGACTTAATTTCAGAACAGATCATAAGAGCCCTTTGGGTAAGGGTCTTAAATCAATTTTCCGTTTTATGGGACAAAAAGTATCCCAACGGCTATACAGACCAGTAAACGTCGGTTTGCGGTAAACAGAAGTAACAAAACCCGACCAAGATCTGTTAACCAAAACATCAAGAAAGGGAAAAAACGAATCAGCTTCCTTTTCCTGTGTAAATTTTAAAGCTGGATGAATATTATTAAGGGACACAAAAAAATTGATCCGCTTCAATCTCGTTATCGAAGAGACAAAAGGTGTCATCGACGTAACGGAAACAAACGTCAGGTTTATTAAGTTTTAATAAAATGCTCTCTTCCTGGAACCTGGAAAAGATATTTGCTAAAATGGGTCCCAAGGGAGAACCCATCGAAACACCTTCAATCTGCCTGTACATGATGCCGTCAAAACTAAACGACTGATATCGTAGCAAATTTCATCAGTTCGGCAAAAATGTCCTCCGAAATAACAGGTGGAGACAACTGACTACAATACAGAGCATCAGCACATATATCAATACTTTCTGCAAGTGGAACGCAGGTAAATCAACTAGAAATGTCGTAGGAACTCATAAATTTATCCGTCAACGAATAACGCTGCATGAAATGAGAGAATTCAAGCGAATCTTTAATACAGGCAGAGTTATATTGCTCTAAAACAGGCTATAGTATAGTAGAAAGCCATTTAGCCACGCAATGTTAAGACACTATCATAGATAGAATAGGTCTCAATGGTGTCTTAACTCTATTAGTTTTGGGTAAGCCATAGAGACAAGGATGAATGGAGCAAGAGGATCTAATTAAATTTGAAATATCAGTGGGCAATTTTTCACTTTTTACCCACTTAACCAGATGTTTTTGGGACTTGTTGGCCTCAATAGATAATGTAGAATCAAATTTATCTATTGGGTCTAACTGGACGAATTTAGAGGAATCCCCAAGAATTATCATCATCTTGTTAACATAATCCTGATAATCAAGAATGACGACGCCAATACCTTTGTCGGGTTTCGTAATCACTAAAGATTTATTATTAAGAAGTGCTTTGATTACCCGAAATTGTTCATTGTTCCTCTTCGATTCATTATGTGAAACAGCAGTACCTGAGTAGTAACGAGCTATTTGTACAGCTTTGCCTTAGGGCACAAAATCCAGTCCGTGCGAGAGAATCGATAATTCAAACTCGGACAACTGATATGAAGACAGATTTAAGAACATTCCAACCAATAACCAGGATTAGCAGAATACCCATTTTTTTTAATAAATTAAATGTTGCAACTTATTCTGATGTTTAGTCGCAAGTCGAGAACGACTGCGCTCGTAAATAAGTGCTGCGTAACGGACAAAACGAATCCTATCAAAATAGGAAAGTAAGCCCATTGTAGCACTCCATAGTTGATAATATCTCTTGTACAATTTGACAAGACTATAAAATTGGCAATAAACGCTTCCTCAATTTTCTGTTCTGGATATAAATTGGCCCTTATAACTCTAAAATAAATATATATATATATAAATACGCTTAAATTCACCTTTACCGTTCGCCAACTGCTTAGTGCTAGAATCCCCCGACTGACGCTAATTCAGTCGGGTTTCCATCTTTGCTAGAGGCAACCGGACGTCTAGACACAC